CCCAGCATTGCTGGGCCAATGTACTTAGGGAAAGCATGTTGTGACATGGGCTAGAAGGTAGTTTCTAGTCTTCATTCTGTCCCTTTCTTTATGACTTTTGGCAAGCCACTTAATGGCTGTAAGACTTAGTTCTTTATTTGAACATGAGATGACAACCCATCTCTTCTATCTCGATATATAGACTTGGGTTGGAGATTTATGCACACATATAGACACATACACAACAGAGTTTCCGTGCCTGAGATGCCTGGTGTTTTCTCCTCCATACTTGATGCCAAGGGAATAAGGATAGGGATTCCCTACTACTAACGGATTATGAAGCCAGCACCCTTGCTTATGAATATACGTACACTCATCTTTTCCTATGATATACATTATTGGACCTCCTGTATTTGCCTTCTACTCTGGTCTTGCCAAGGGCAGCCGGTGCTTTTGCTTTCGGCATCAAGACCAGAACCATTCAACATGAGCTCCCAAAATAAACATTCCACTGGCCCTTTATGAGTGTTCATGGTCTGGCCCATGCCTGCCTCTCCATCCTCTTTTCTCCCAGGCTTCTTTGAGCTCCTGACCCCTGGCCCTTGTGAGCGTTTTAGATCTGCCACGTTTCTTCTCTGCACTTAGAAATTTCTCCTGAAGCTCCTTCTGCCTAGAGCACCATTGCCCATTGTCCAGTTGCATGCATTTCAACTAGGTAATTCTTACTCATCTTTCAGATTCTACCTCCATTGAGAAGCCGTACACCTACATTAGATTAGTGCTTAAAGCTCTCCCAGTGCTATGAACTGTGCCTTTAAGACACCTAACATGGAGAAGTATTATAGAGTTACTTGTAATCTCCATTAGGCAGGGGCTGTCCTTCGGTTCACTATTATATTCCTAAGGTCCATCACACAATAGGTACACAATAAGTATTTGTTGAATGAATGAATGAGTGAATGAATGAATGTGTTTAGTATTTGGGACTTGTATTTGTGCCTCTAGAGGGGATGCATCTCGACTTGATGTCCCCATTCCAAATGAACATCCTTTGCAAAGCTCTAGAGACAGAAGTGGCCCTGTTCCTGCCTGTGGATCAAAGAGTCTGTTAGCTCATGGCTGCGGAAGAGACTGAGCCTTTTCTTTTCCAGGGCAGGCCCCCAGGAGAGCCATATAGAGTGGCCAGTTTGCCTTTGGGCCCATTGGCGCCTTTGGGTTCTCACCCCCACAAGGCTTCCTGGACCCTCACATCTTCTTTCATATTTTGGCAGGTTCCTATGCCTGCATTTCTCTTCTGTTTGGTCTCCAGCAACCTTTTCCATCACTGGCCGTGGGGCTTCAGGGGGTCTCCCGCTCTCTGAGCTCTGGTTTGGGGTATCTGTGTCCTTCCCTGGACTGTGAATTCTGCCCTGCCCTAGGCCTTGGTCAACGGTTGCTTTCAACTGTCATCAGAATGTTCTGTCCTTAAGATTCTCAGGGGGTTGGTGCGTGGGCTTTGCAGACAGGTGGAGTACAAGGCCTTGAGCCCAGAGTCCAGGTTTTTCCCTTGTCAGTTGGCTCAGCCTTCAGTATGCAGTAACCACACAGCCATACATGGGGATTTGCTTTTCTAACCGAATTCTTATTCAACTTTTTCAAGGCAGTCATGGCTACCTGAGCTCTCTGGCGTGGTTTCACAACCTCATTGGACTCTCCCTGCCTTAGCTGAAGCTGAAAAGAACCCTCTCGTGGGTCCTTTGGCAGACCCAGCTGAGGGATATTGGGGACCAAAGCACTTCCTGCAGCCTCACTTGGCCCCGCCCCCCAAGGCAACTCTGACCCCAGGCTGCAGCGGCCCTTGTTTGCACCTGTCTCAAAGCAGCTTCTATTCCCAAGACTGGAGCCACTTCTGCCCCAGGGCTGGGGCCGTGCCTTGAGGAGGGGGGAAGGCCATGTTCATGGCTGAAAGAGACAGTGCAAAGGTGTCATTTAGAGTGGCTTCCCCTTGGTCACAAACTTGTTTATCTTTAAGAAATATGAACTTGGGTTCCCCTACCCCTTAAATCCCTGAGGCTTGGCCATCTTTCTTGAGGTTGTATGTAAACTATGCAAGTTGGGGCTTCCTCTCTTATTTGTGTCTTTAATAAAAGCCTGAGTTAAAGGCCCATCTGATCTGAGTTGGCTTTGGGTCCCTGGATCTTACTCTGTCCACTCTTTTTCTTTTTGTCACTTAAAAAAAATTCTTTATAAAATGTTACTCTTTCCACTCTTGATGCTCCTGGTACAAGACACAGTTTGTTCCTCTCTCATTCATGCATTCATTCATTCATTCGTTCATTTAATATCTGTCGAACTCCTATGTGCCAGGCAGTAGTTAGGTCCTGGGGATACCAAAAGTGGCAGGCAAACCAAAAAAGACACTGATCTTTAGAGGATATCCTGTCTAATGGGCCACCTGTATAAAGGGGCACTTGGCTGCAGGGAGGTGTGCGAGTGAACCATGCAGGCTGGGGACAAAAGTCAAGGGGCTATGAGAACTTGCAGATCATGTTTGGAATTTTCATGTTTTGTCCTAGAAGCTTTGGGGAGCCATGGGGAGATTTTAAGCAGAGGAAAGAAATGATCAGTTTGGGTTTTTGGAAGAAGACCCTCACTGCTGTGCACAGCACCAGTTAGAAGGGGGCAGGGAGTGGAGATGGGTCAGGGAACCCATCAGGCAGTGCGGGTGGCTAAGACCAGAGGGGCTTGGGGAGAAGAGGTTGAGGATGTACCTCACGTGGATGAGGGTGGCAGATCGTGGGTGTAGACTGCAAAGGGGACTTAGTAACACTTAATGCACACACTGGAGCAGGGATACAACCGTAAGTTAGGTTTGGAGCATATTGAGTTGAGATTGAGTTGAGGCACCTTTGAAAGAAGGGGATATTCAGGTCAAGAGCTCATGGGAGAGATGTGGCCTGCATTGGTGAATTATCTGCCATACGTAGTTACTCCATAGGAATGGTGGAACTTGCCAGGGAGACAGACTAGAAAAGCGAGGGCGCCTTGGGGACAGGGAGGAGCATCAGTCAAAGGAGGCTGAGGAGGAATGGCCAGAGCAGTAGGTGGGGTGCCAGGGAGTTGTAGGGTCATGATAGCCTTGAAAGAGTATCTGTTTGTTTCCACAAATAGTTGCCTTTATCACAAACACATCTTCTTCATCCTGAATATGAACTGTAGGGAGCAGGGGGAAACTTAGCCCTAATGCCCTCTAGAAGGGGCGTGTGGGCTCTCACAGGAGGCAGGAGGGCCAAGGAGTGCTCTGGCAAACTCCATTAGATTTGGTGGCAATGACAGGCATATCTGAGAGTTTGGGACAGGCATGGAGAAGCCTGTGGAAGTTCAAGGCTGGGTGGGAGCACCTTCTCTGTCGATGGGTCTATGGGCTGTGAGTTCAGGGACATTATAAAGAAAGAGAACAAGGAGACCAGGTGTCAGGAAATGAGGGGTCTTTTTAGAGGTTGTGGGGGTTGAGAAGCCTGACTGGGGAGAAGCAGTGAGGGGAAAGAGGAAGGCCAGTTCTGACCACTGGTTTCCAAGAAGGCCAGCTTCCATGGCCTGTTAGTCTTGAGACAGACAGAAGCTCCCCCCCTCCCCCCGGTATATGGGCATATATCTTAGAGAAGCAAGGAGTAGGAGTTTGTCAAGAAAAGAGAACAGTCAGAGGGGCGGAGACGATAGCGTAAGGGAAACAAGTAAGGATCTTGATGGGAACTGTTATTCCCAATTTATGTAGGCTCTGAGAAAGTTTCTGAAGCCTATGTAGCCTTTTTAGAGCTGTTAGGAGCATGTGGAGCATGTTTAGGGCCCAGAGAAAAGGGACAGTGGAGAGGCAAGGTGAGAGAAGCAGGAAGGGGCAGTGTGGGTCACAAGCTAAGACCACTTCAGCAGATCGAGGTAACCCATCAGATCCTCTCCACCACTCTCCGAGCCAGCATATCACAGCTAGTACAGGCAGGTTCCTTCACCCCTCACGTAAGCACTGGATCTGGCTGCCATTTTGTGCCTGGCTATTCCAGATAGCTCCCAGCTGGAGTCCCTCATGGTAAGGCCTTACCACAAAGAGAGCAGTCCTGACAAAGTGCAGGCTTGAGGCCATGGTCAGGGAGAATGTGGAGTGGGGTGGGATCGGGTGGCGATAGGGCAGAAAGAATACTTTCAGACCCTCTTTGGAGTATGGCCTTCCTCATGACTTCTAAGGCAAGACATACATTAAGACAAAGAAATAGGTTTTCAAAGGGAAACAGGAGACTCAGTGTGGGTACCAGAGATGGGCACCATGACCTTGAAGGGACAATTTTGGAGTGGTTCTCCCAAGGATGAGGGGCAGGCAGTACTTGCACCTCTAGCCCTCAATTTCCCTACTTGTAAAATGGGTGGTGGTGGTAATAGAATAGTCTACTTGAGAGAAATGTTGAGGATTTTATGAGTTAAGTTTTGTATAGAATACTTAGAACATTCAGACACATCACAAATGATAGTAAATACTATCACGATTTCAGAAGACATTGTCCACTTACATGAAATTTTTGGTCTTTGTGGGCACAAACTACATTTCCTAACAATATGACTCTATGCTGCTCAAAAAGTAGGCATTCCGGTTTAATTAAGTGGTAATGAGGAGATTCAATTCCAGAATTACATATTAGGATACTTTTGAATAAATTTTCCACGGATGCTTATTAGAGTGGAAAAGATACAGAGTTAAGGTGTTCGAAGACCACAAATGTTTGTTTTAGCATCTTCTGTATGCTAGACTTCAATGGCCACCATGATAGAAATGGTACTTGCATTAACAGTGCTGATGACTGGCTGGGGAGACAGATGAAAGGTTTTAAAAAGCTACAAATTAGGATTAATGCCACTAAGGGGAAAAATCCCAAGCGGAAGAATAGCATGGAAGGTACCTAACTTTAGGTCATGAAGATCTTCTCTGATAAGTGGACATTAAGCCAACTATCGGCCACTCACCAGTGGTTCTGGAGGCAAGGTGGTATGAAGTATTCTGCGTTAGAGAAGGATTTTCCTTCCCAATTAGGTGATCTCAGGCAACCTTGTGAGTGCCAATTTCCACATTTGTAAAATGAGAATAAGCCTACCTATCCAACTGACCACAACAGAGCTGGGGTGAGGATAAAATGAAATGATGTGAAAGACTTTTGTTACACACAGACAGATGCATCAACAAAGAATCTAGGAAGAAAGGGCTCACTGATAATTTCCTTTCACCGTTTCTCTGCATTACATTTGGTTTCTGGATCTAACACGACTGTAGTATACAAGGTCTGTCCAAGAGGGGCGGTGGCTAAAGATCATGTTGAGAATACATGACCTTGGTGTGCAAGGTGAGAGGGGTGTGGAAGGGGCACAAAGGTGATTCTCTGGAGAGAAGATGGCTGAGCTGAACTGTAGGAGATGAGTGGGGGAGAGTCCAGCTTTTTGTAAAGCCTAAAAGTCCGAGAAATTTTAGTGTGGGGTAGTTGGTACAGATTTCAGTGTTCAGTAGACACAAACCCTTCTGGAACCCCTCCTCAGGTAAGGGCATAGTCAATGTTACTTAATTTTCGCCAAGCCTCGCCATGAAGTTCTGGAAATAGAGAGGCAGACATGCTTTTCCCCTGGGTGCTCAGCGATGTGACTTCTACCCTGTAGATAATCATCAAATGTTTGATGTGTTGAAGGACACTCAAAAAGGGGAAGCATCCAAGGAGAGTACTGCCAGGTTGCCATGCAGCTTCTGGGCTATAAAGGGAGATCGGGATCAAAACAATCTGTGGGTTTGCAAAAAACATCTTATTCCACATGCACTGTGAAGCAGGGCAAGTGCTACAGATGAACGAACCCAGGAAATGCCATGCTCTGGGGAGGAGGCATCTCCCTGGGCTGCACAGGGGCATCAGCCATTGCTGTGGTTCCTTTTTTAATCTAAAACTCATGGACAATGCTGTGCTGCTCATTATATCAATGTCACTGCTGGACGTTGGTGACCACCCAGCCTCTGTCTACAGTTTCCAGATGGAGTTTTCTGATTGTTATTATATTGGTGATTTTGAGAACATTTAAGGGGAAAGAAACATCAACCCATTGAGGATATTGCCTACAATAGGACTTGGCGAGGTCACGTCCTGATAAAGACATTTTCTCAGCTACTCTTTCAAAAGACAGAAGCACCAAAGCAAACATTCTAGTGGAGGGGCTCTCGGGTGGCCTTCAGGTGAGAGGGTGAGATAGGAACCTTCTGGAAGGGAAGGGGATGGGGAGGGTCTTTTTTTTTTTTGTCCAGGAAGAGAAGGTCAGAAGAAGCGGCTGACATTTGTGATGCCATAGGGTTCTATTTGTGGCTATTCCTTGCAGAGTCTGGGCTCCATGTTCAAGAGCATTTCCACAGGGGTCCATGGAAAGCACCTCAAGCTAAGAGAGGCTTTGACTTTTGAAACTTAAAATGTTAATTTTTATGAATGTCTTTCTGTAGGTAAAAAGGAGGGACTAAGGAAGGCAGTTGGAAAAGAAACATATAGAAGGGGCCAAGAGAAACTAAGGACTCTGAACAAAGTGGGGAGTTGGGTCAAGACAAAACCAAGAGTTTTGTGGAGCAGATCCCTAACACCTCAGGGAAGGAAGCCAAACTTAGTCAGTATTAGCGGAAATGACATACTGGCAAAGGAAACCGGGAGGAGAAACCGAGAGGCCAGCTCAGAGCTCCTTGGGCTTGTAGGGGAGCACGTGCAGGAATAGGGCCCCGACATGAAGGGTCTGACCATTTCTTGTCTTCCACATGTCTCTTTTTTCCACTAACAGCCACCTGTCAGCAGTTTGTGGGCAGGCTCCAGACTCAGCGAGAATGGAGGGAACTTACTACATCTCGTGGAAGGAAGACCTCACATGGCCAAGTGGTCAGTCCTCCCCAAATGGATCCCTGCCTTTGACACAATCCCAATCAAAATTGCAGTGAGAGTTTTTTGAACTTGGAATGGTATTTCTAATATTTATTTGGAAGAATACATTTTGGAGAAACAAGTAAAACTCACGTGGACACGTGTGCTTGCAAACACACACACACACACTGAGTAGACTAGCAAGTAAAAGCTTGCACTGTTAGATTCTAAAACACACTTTAAATCTGAAACCTTTTGAATGGTAGGAAGCTAGTGACCAAATGGGGTGTCTCCAAATTCACTCGCAGCTACTGCAAATGGTTTTCCCATTTTCTGAAATTCATCTGCTCGCTCTCTATCCCCACACTCAATCAACATGGTTACCCTGTAGATAATAAATGAAGGCCTGTATCCTTCAGTATATTGAGTTGGTGATTTTACTGAATAAGTGTGGCATTCTAAGTCAGCGAGGAAGTGTAAGTCATGTAACAATTGACCCAGAAATCACATTATTATTTTTTGGGTGAGTAATTACTGAGTGCCTGTTTGGGGCAAGCGAGGCATTGTTCTGGGTACTGCAAACCAGCATGTGAACAAGAAAAATGTAGTCTTTGCTGTCCCAGGGAGCAGGGAGTTTTTAGGGAAGGAGAGACACAGTGAACTAAGAACCAACCCAAACGGTAAATCTGGCTGTGGAGACAGAACGTCACAGAAAGTGCCGGCTGTGGTCAAGGAAGCCTTCTTGGATGAAGCGGAGCACTTGGGAAGGTTCCTGGGGACATGCAGGTGCAGGTGCATGCCACGGAGGTATCTGAGGAACAACGTTCCAGGAAGCGGGTGCCACCAATGAAAAGGAGCAGCAGGTGGATTTGCTACATGAGGCGGGTCATGTCTACCCCTCTTCCAGTAAGTAGTGCCAGTAATCATGCAATTACTAGAAATCATTGTCATGGTGCCCTCTTTGACTTCACATTTCACGTTGAAGCTACTCTTCAATTTCGGGAAACTATTGCATAATGAACTCAATTATGTATATTTACCCTTAACCCCTCCCCCCATCCCTCACCTCCAAAAACCACATCTTACAGAATCACACTGTGTCTACTGCTGAAACTTTAAACACAAAACAACTCCAAGGGGTCAGGTGGAATTACAGAATGAAGGAAGTCTAATGCTGATTCTCTGATGCTGTAATTGTGTTATGGTTGTGCCTTTTGGGTCTACTGTTTAAAACTCAGACTCAGAGATACATAGGGCAGGGGACGGGAGAGCCACAAACTGTGTCCAAAGCAAGCTCCAATGATTCTGAACCATTATCAATGAAACTGCAAATGCTGTCGATGAAGCCGTGGTTATGTAGACCTTATATTTACTTGTCTTTATGTGGATGTGTGTGTGTGTGCATATTTGTGTATGAGCGTGTGTGCCCTCCTCACTGCTCCCCAACTCCCCAAAATGTGCCTAGTCCCAGCATTTGCCAGTCTACAGAGTGTGCAGATTTTCCTAGATCACACTGATGGCTGAAGTTGAGTTAAGTCACGTAGCTCCCAGTGCACTCCTAGCTCATGGCAAGTTCTTTGGATCTGTATTTCTATTGCTCTGGTTGGAAGAATGAAGAATTTGTCTTCATTGAGCTTAGCTCCCTGAGGTTTTTCTTTCTGACTCTCCCACAGAATTTTACTGTGACAGAACCTATTTCTTCTTTTTTTAAATGTTTATTTTTGAAGGAGAGAGAGAGACAGAGCACAAGTGGGAGAGAGGCAGAGAGGGAGACTCAGAATCCAAAACAGCTCCAGGCTCTGAGCTGTCTGCACAGACCTGGCGTGGGGCTCGAACCCATGAACCGTTTCCTCATGACCTGAGCTGATGTCAGATGCTCAACCGACTGAGTCACTCGGGTGTCCCTTGAGGGAGCCTATTTTGATGTCACATCCTGCAGCTGTGTACCCTGTCCTGGCTTCCCTGACTTGGGCTCTTATTTACTGGGAGCTCCAGTGCCATACTGAAGCAGCCAGACAAACAGAGGTTGTGGGCGAGAGGACCACGGTGGCCTCCCCACAGGCATCCATTGTGTAGCAGTGAGACAGCCACCCACCATTCTGTCCAGATGGATCCCAACTCTCTGCTTGGGTAAACGTGCAGGGAGTACGACAAAGTATTTTCCTTTTTTTTTTTTTTTTGAAGACCATAAAGCAGCATTATTTCATATGGTTGAAAAATACAGTAGCTTTGGTTGTTTTCATTGAAATTAACCTAAGTTGGCAGACATGTCTATATGCCGCTCAATTTGCCAAAAGATTGCCTCTCAGTCATAGTGCATCTATGTCGCCACATTCTGCTTTACCTGCTTGGGAATTTAGTAGAACAGGAGAATGGAAGTTTCGGGTGCCTAATCAAATCATTTTCTTGAACCGTAATTTATGTTAGTGCCTCTGCTGGGGGAGAAGCTGGAAGAGGTGAGGCTAAGAAGGACTTTGTCTCGTCATGGCTTTGCAGGCAGCAGAGAAGATGGCACCCGATAATATTACCCCTCAGTTTGCTCACAGAGGGTGGTACAACCCCAGTCCAGTGCATCAATGCCTTTAATGGAGGGCCTTTCTCTGGAACATGACAGATATCGGTACCCTCAAGGGATGCTGTGGTTGCTCTATATGTATAATGTCCCATTGTTGTTGACTATAAGGTGAAGGTTTTATATACAGGGGTCTATTTGTTCAGAAGTTGGGTGTTGCTTGATTTGGGATAAGCCAACTGGGCTGACAGAACTTAACCTCTAAGTGAATCCTTGAGTTACCAGGTATGAGTATACTGGGAAAATGGCTCCAGCACCCTTGGGTCTCTGACCACAGGGTATAAAGGAAACTCAGGGTATTAAATTTTTTTTCTCTAGAAAAAATATGTTTACAAATGTGAGCTCTGAAGAAAGGAGACTTTGGTAACCAGTGGAAGCCACTGTGTTCCAGGGCCTCAGATGGACTTCAGCATGAAATAAGCCTTAGCTGAAGCGCTTCCTTTCCACCCAGCCAGGACATGCTCAGCTTCTCTGTCAGTCTCAGAGGAAGTAGTCTTGTTTTTGTCCTGTATTTTTCACTCATAGCCTCTTGTCCATTGGGTGACAGGAAGAACCCAACTTGGATTTTGTGTTATTTACTTTCTAAGATCTGAATTAAACTCCATCTGGTGATGTTTATGGAAGGGAAGAGGCCTCTGATAAGCACAGCTGGGAGGGAGATTTCCCAGTGCTCCAGCCCCGTGATTTTGCTCACTTTCTCCCAGCCCAGAGGCCCCTCAGTGAAGTGAAAGGAAATCTGAAGACAAGATATCTGTTCAGGATTTCATCAAGTCTTTGGATTTGAGTGGAGACAAATGCATGACATGGTATGGAACTGGAGACCCCAGATGAGTCTGGAAAGTCTAGAACTCACTGCCTCTCCTTTAAATGCCCACCTATCTTTCTCTTTCAGCTCCATGCCAATGCTCATTCATGACCCAACTGAAGAAGAAAAAGGAACATTAAAGTATTTTTTTGGGGTTTTAGATTGGGAACAGACCAGAGGAGACATTCCACCCAGTATCCTATTTTTCATAGATGAATTTAAGGTCTATTTACCCCCATGACACACTTGTGTGTGATCAACACTGGTCTACAGATAATGTATCAGAAATGCATCTTATTGCAAAGGACAATGGTTTCTTGATGGGTAGGGATATGTGGGGCTAGGATCAGAACTTTCTGGGTCTTCACAATATGAACTGGATATGAGTTACAAAGAAACCAGAGTCTTTCTCTGTGCATGAATTCTCCCACCTGGCCCTGGGGGGCAGAGACTGTGCCATGGCCACATTTCTGCTCCTCTCGGGGTCCATGGAGCTGTGTTCTGTGACAGCTGAGGTCCCTAGGAGGCAAGCCAGCCACTCAGGCAACGTTAACATTTGATGGGATGTGGTCATGAGTGTTCTCTGTGGAAGAGGATACTTGTCTGGCGATGTGGGAGCAGAGTACCGCTGAAGAGGTCATTTGGCAATGGAGCTGGACACCTGCTTGTAAGATGTTTCTGTGCCTCCCTCATGAGGAACACGGGAATTCCAGAGGCAAGGTTACCTGGCTGTCTTATGGATAAGGGGGTAAATGGGACATAGTGTGGTTTAGTTTTAACTTTTATCCAGTTTAGATCGTGAAGACCCAGAGAGTTCTAATCCCCACATATCCCTGCCCATCAAGAAACCATTGTCCTTTGCAACAAGATACATTTCTGACGCATTATCTGTAGACCAGTGTTGATCACACACAAGTGTGTCATGGGGGTAAACAGACCTTAGGTTAGTGTGCAGGAGCTAGAGCTGGTGGGGAACATAGGAAGGACATAACATAAAAGGGTAAACTCAGCTAGCGTGGAAGAACAGCAGGCTCTGTGATCAAGAAGCATCTGAGGGGGATGCTTGGGGCCATTAAGAGCCTAGGGCTTCTTGGCGCAGGAACAGTTATAATTTAAAGTGATCTAAGCCTCAGTTTGAGTGTCAAACACACCGTTCTCAAAGCAACGACATAACATGTCACCCTTCATGTCACTTCCTGACACAGCTTTCACTGGGGACTCTTCCTATTTCTGGTTGATGCTTGAAGGCAATAGGCTGTGTGTGTGTGTGTGTGTGTGTGTGTGTGTGTGTGTGTGTTGAAGGAAAAATATCAATTCAAACTAGACTTATCAATTTAGGAGTTCAATTGTAATCTGTGCAATATTCAAGAAATAACTAAATACCTAAAATAAATATATAGGTATACATTAAAAAATATATAGGAAAGAAAGAGAAAACAGTTCACAAGAACAAAATCAATTAAACTCAAAAGAACATAGTATTGGAGTAGATAAATATAAGGCATACAGGAATCAAAGAGAAGGATTTCTGGGTAGTTCAATCGGTGAAGCGGTCTGACTTTAGGTCAGATCCATGGTTTGGGAGTTTGAGCCCCACCATCAGGCTCTGTGCTGTCAGCATGGAGCCTGCTTTGGATCCTCTGTCCCCCTCTCTCTGCCTCTCCCCTGCTTTCTCTCTCTCAATTATAACTGAACATTAAAAAAAAAAGAAATCAAGGA